TTGGAGTGTTTTTAAGCCAGTGGGGCTGGGATTTGAACCGTGACCGGCCCTGTGAGATCCCGCTTCCAGCCTCTGGGACATCGATTCCCACCCTCACTCTCCTCATTTCCTTCTTTTTCTTAGATCACTTTGTTGTTCTTTCTAGAACTTCCTATGGGGGTTACTTCCTTGACATCGAATCCTTTTGTGTGTTTGTTTTGAACATATGAACGTGCCCTCCCACCCCCATCCCAAGCGGGCAGTTGCTATAGCCTGGGCGCTTTGATCTGGGGGACTCTGCCCTGGGGCCCGGTCCCTGGGGCTTCAGCAGCCGCAGGAATGTAGACTGTGCCCTGCTCCTGTGCTCTGACCCATGGTGGTGGGCCCTAGCAGGCCCAGGCTGCTGGGCTTGTCCAGAGTCACCCCTGTCATCACTCCCTCAGCCATTTGAGTGCCAGCTTCCTCCACAGGCACAAGGCATCAGGTGTTCTGTGTCACCTGGGGAGGGCATCAAGGACCAGGGGGATACCAGGCTTCCTACCTCGGTAGGAATGGGGGAGCCGTGTCCAGCAGAGAACAGGAGGGGCTGGGTGCAGGTCTGCGCACAATAGGCCATCCTACACACACTGGTGTCCACAGGGCCCTGGACCCAGCCCCGCATGGAACAAGAAACAGCTCAGAGCATGTACCTTATTCAGGCCGACATGCTTTCCGGCTCCCATCTTGCTTGTGTGGCACCTGGCTTATTTGCACAGAGAAGCACCTGTGAGCCAGGAATGAGAAAACAGCAGCGCATCTGCCCCGCCGTCACTGCCTGCCAGGGGAGGCAGCCAGACCCTCTGTGAGAATGCCTTCCTCCCACCCGGCCCTGGCCCTGGGAAGGTTATCTTCCCTCCTGCCATCCCAGATACACACACAGAAATTCACCAGCGGCATGGGGTGCTAGGTCAGCATCCTGACTCCCACTGGGGCAACAAGCTAGCAGGGCAGGCCACCAGACGGAAGCGCCACTACAAGTCCACACTGGGCATGCGTGAATAGGTCATCAGCTCCCTTAAATTCCTCACTGGAGAGAGATGCCCAGGTGCAGAGAAAGCCCTGAGTCCCTGCTAAATACCCAGGGCCGGCCGCAGTAGAAGTGGTACCAACGCCCTGCCCAGCGCAGCTCCCTGGCAGCTGCCCACACACACATCTTCCCGGCGTGGGCGCACTTCTTTTCTACTGAAAGTCTTCGCTTTTCTATGAAAACGTTTTTCCAACCTTACATGTTTGTGGGTATTTGTCGCTGCATCTCAGGGTGGGCTGTACCTTGGCCATCTGGTGCGTCAGTCGTGGGCCTGGGGTTGGCCGCTTGTGAGCTCAGTCGAGTGGGACACAGCGACACTTTCTCAGGTGAAATAGTTGAGAAAATACCTGATTCCTCAAATGCGTCCGGGCTGCTTCAAAACCCTTCCTTGGGGTGCACACGCCTACGTGGTAGGCGTGTGCTCTGGTTGCCATTTAAATACATTTCTTGGGGCCGGCAGGTGACATGGTGGTTAAGGGTGCTGAACTCCCACATGGCCGACCATGGTTCAAGTCCTGGACCTGGCGCTTGCTTTCTCACTTTCTTTCTCTCTCTCCCTCCCTCCCCCTCTCCGGTCAAATTTAAATAAATAAATAAAGTGAAATAAAATAATTCTTTAAATACATTTCTTGTTGGTGATCAGGTTAAAAACTTTTTTTCAGAAAGAATTCCCTTATAATTAATACTTGCTAGAAAATTGAGTTTGATATTAGTTCATTAATTAACTTCTTCCATGAGGCAGAGAGCACACATAAACAGGGCCCTGACGCTGGGATCCGCCCCCACGCCCAGTCAGCCCTGGGTCACTGGGTCACAGACACTTGGGTGCCCACTGCTCTGAGGGATGTAGCTGGACAAGAACCAGGGAACTTCTCAGGTGGGGTCGCCTCACAGAGCATTAGTGTGAGCCACCATGTGGTGCCAGAGTTTGATGTTATTAAGGATACCAGCGTCACGGAGGCACGGGCATGCCTGGCAGGGCAGGAGGGCTCTCATGCATATTCATGAGGGGGTGGCTCTTGGACTGCGGTGGGCTGGGCTGGGCTGGGCGAGCCCTGGAAGGTGCCTGTGTCTGACTGAGCCTTCCGGACCACACACACGTGTACTGTGAGCACTCTAGCGCCACGGTGTGCTTTGAGAGCCTCTCTTAACTCCGAAGAGCGCCGGCTCCCGGACCTGTACCAAGGCTTCCCGTCCTACATCCGCTGCTGACTCAGCTGCTCACCAGCGTCACGGAGACGGAAGTGGAGAGCAGGAGGTCCACTCTGGGGGATGTCCCCACCAACGCAAGCCAGCTCCCTCCTGAAGCACTGTCCCCACACGCGCTCCCAAAGGCTCCAATGTCCTAGCCTGGCCGGGGGCAGGGCAGAGTGCGGAAAGCAGCAGGCGGCCCCCCTTCTTCTCCCCTAAAGCCCCAGCTGGGGTGCAGTTTCAGGCTGTACCACGGGATCCCCAGGCCCTCATCCCACAGGGATCTGCTCGGAGAGTGCTCTCATGCAGGGTGGGGAGGGCAGCCATATCAAGCACAGAGTAGAAAAGGGGGGCATCTGTTTATTTGAGGCACCAAAGCAGCAGGGGGGCTCTAGTGGGGATGGGGGACAAGCAGGACTCAGCTGGGCTAGGACAGCCTAGGCCTGGAGGCAGTGGAGCCCTGCCCCACAACCTGCATGTGAAGTGAGTGGGTGCAGCGTGGGCGAGAGGGCTGGGACAGGGCCTTGCAGAGCTCAGGCCTGCTCTGGGCCTGGACTCGGCCCCTGTGTAGCAGCGCCCGGCCTTGCACTCACAGTGGGGCAGGCCTTCCCTCCTGGAGCCCGAGCCGGCACTCATGGGCATGCCTCCTATTAACTGCTTGCCTGGGCAGACAAGGCTAGGCTCAAGGCCCCTGCCAAGGTGGCCATGGGACTCCACTCTGATCTCAGGACCCTAAGGCTCCAGGGACACCCGCACCCCCTCTCTCATCCCCCTAGGCAGGCCACATCATTGACCCTGGAAGTGAGGACAGCTGACCCCATTTGGGGCAGGGGCTGGGGCAGGTATAGCAGATGGTCGGGGTGGGCCTGACCCTGGGGACCTGGGGCCAGGGGGCTAGGATCAGAAGTGTGACGTCTGGGTTTCGTTCCTGAGCTGGGAGGTGGGGGTGGAGGGTCCATGGGGCTAGGGGCCACGGCGCAGGAGAGCGGACAGCAGGCTCAGCAGGAGCCCCAGGCCCAGCAGGGTGGCACTGGCCCGCAGCCCGCCGGCCGCCGCGCCGGTGG